ACATCGACAAAATAATTGGTGTTATAAAAACGATTGCAAAACGAGATAGGAAAACAGAGCGATAGAGAAAAAGAAAGAGGAGAGAGAAAGAGAGAGAGAGATAGATAGATAGAGAGAGAGAGAGAGAGAGAGAGAGAGAGAGAGAGAGAGAGAGAGAGAGGGGGAGAGAGAGACAGACAGACAGACAGAGACAGACAGACAGACAGAGAGACGAGGAGACAAAGAGACGAGAGAGAACACATAGTACTAAAATAGACACTCGTATGCATGCTAGCCTAATAATAATAGTGTCAGCCTCCAACCACCCACAAATAAAACAGAACAGCAGTAACATAATGCCAACAGCAACAACAACAACAAATGTAAAAATAACAATATTGTAAATAATAAAACGGGCTAAGTGGCAATAAATTATGTCTTGAATTTTATCGCCGGTGCCCTGATCACAAGTGCAAGATTTATGGTTCTTGGAGTGACCACAAGCACACACTTGTAGGGGCGTTTGGACCGCTAACATCTGAACAACACACCTCGATGTTATATTACGTTACACATAATGATGGTCGTATAGAGTTAATATGAATATCTCTACGTTACACATAACAGTAGTGATGGTATAGAGTTTTTAGTTTTAGTAGAAGTTTTTACGGCACTCCCAACTGTATAACGTCATATGAGCGCCAGAGGATTAGAGGTGTTACAAGAGAGTAACACACATAAAAAAGAAGAAGGGGAGATAAGGACGATAGATGTTTGATAGGAAAGAAGAAGCAAACCACACCACAGCACCCGCCAACCACCCATGGTATACAGTTTATATGTATATCTCTATGTTATATTACGTTACACATAATGATGGTGGTAAAGAGTTTATAATAGTATGTGTATCTCTACATTACACATTACAGTGGTGGTATAAAGTTTGAATTGTATACCTCGAAATACGTTACACATAATAATGGTGGTACAGAGTTTATATGTATATCTCGAAATGTATTACACACTAATACTCGATGTATAGAGTGTAAATGTGTATTATTAACTCTATATCAACATTATTCTTTGTATTTCGAGAAATGCTGTTCAGATATTGGAAATTGATCCATGTGTGTGTTTGTGTGTGTGCGTGTGGTGTGGTGTGAGGGGGGGGGGTATGTGAGTGTGTGTGTGTGTGTGTGGGTGGTGTCTGACTGTGTGTGAGGGTGGTATGTGTGTGTTTCGAAGTGTGTCTTTGTGTGTGTGTATGGGTGTGTGTGTGTATGTGTGTTTGTGTGTGTATGTATGTGTGTGTGTGTGTGAGTGTGTGAGTGTATGTGTGTGTGAGTGGTGTCTGACTGTGTGTGAGGGTGGTATGTGTGTGTGTGTGTGTTTTGAAGTGTGTCTTTGTGTGTGTGTGTGTGTGTGTGTGTGTGTGTGTGTGTATGGGTGTGTGTGTGTAATCATATCTGTGTTTTATGTGTATAATCACAAGACCATACTAACAGGTAATCTAGCCAGCAGCGACCCACTTACCGGCTTCCAGAGCTGTAGCTGGGGCAAAAGACGCAATACCCATATAGAGGATCTGTAGAGAAACAGCAGGGTTATTATAATTTACCAATGAGCGACTCAAACTACAAGCGACATTTAATATGTGACTGAACGTACGTTTTCAGGGTAGTTTTTTTCTACTAAAACGTGTGCTCCTTCCCCACGCCACCCCAAAAAACCAGCAACAACAAAATTCAAGAACAAAAAACATGAAAACGAAGACACCACCGCCCACCAACCTGCACATTCACCTTTCCTCTACAACTGAATATTTCGTTAAACCTAATAAATTTTAAAAAGTAATACGTTCTAATACTAATTTTAGAAAAAAAAATTAGGTTGCATATAATATTCATTAAAAAAAACCTACTAGATTATATTCAGAATAACAGCAATATCTAATTTTTGTGGGAAAACAAAATGATCGAATGGTCACAAGAAGACTATATATATTTTTATTCATTTAAAAAAAATGTGTTTCTCTTTTTCTTTTGTATATTTTTTTAAGCTCAAAAATGTTCATCCATGTTGAGTTATGGTAGGGTACACACCTGAGTGACAATCATGATAGACGTTCCGACAAGTCGAGCCAGTCTGGAGTTGTATCGCCTCTCTAGGTACTGGGGAAAAGCATGTGGGCATGCATGATCTATCTATCTATCTATCTATCTATCTATCTATCTATCTATCTATCTATCTATTTATCCATCGGTCGATCTCTATCTATCTATTGATCTATCTATCTATCTATCCGTCTATCGATCTATCTATCTATCTATCTATCTATCTATCTATCTATCTATCTACCTATTTATCCACCGGTCGATCTCTATCTATCTATTGATCTGTCTATCTATCCATCTATTGATCTATCTATCTATCTATCTATCTATATATCTATCTATCTATCTATCTATCACTTTATCTATATATCTATTTATCCATCGGTCGATCTCTATCTATCTATTGATCTATCTATCTATCCATCTATTGATCTATCTATCTATCTATCTATCTATCTATCTATCTATCTATCTATCTATCTATCTATCTATCTATCTATCTATCTACCTATCAATACCATCTGTTGTGGATCGATGTTGTCTTAGCGCAGCAAGTAAGTTAAGTTCTTTCTGCTCGATGAATAAAGATTGTCATTGTCTTTGTCATGTGCAGCTACTTTGGTGGCAACTCGGTCATGTTTGGGGTTTTTCTTTTGTCCAGTGCATCAGGTCTCGAATGACTATTTCAGTGTGTGTGTGTGTGTGTGTGTGTGTGTGTGTGTGTGTGTGTG